CCCCAAAACCCCAAAACCCCAAAACCCCAAAACCCCATTTCGCACTAAAATGATTGAGCCATACAATTTCTTTTATTTGATATAATAAATATGAGCATTAGCAATAATTCAGGTAAGTGGTGTTGATGACTAATACGTTTCGTATTTAGCCCTATTTTGTATTTTGCTGAGGTTTTAGGCTAGAAATTTCGTTTTTAAAGGAGTTTATACTAAATTTTGAAAGAAACAGTGATCTTTTTGTTAGATTTTAAGTAATTTTGAGTAGGAGGGAGTGCCAATGACGAGAAATCCTTTTTCAAAATTATGAATCAGCATTGAAGTGTTCAAGAAGGGATCGATATGAGAAGCAGATCAGCCAGTTCAGCAAGCAATGACTCTTTTTCTCGTTTCATGAGGAAAAATTTAGGCGAAAAGAAATTCTTCAATCTTCAAGCAATTGATGGCTTCGCCATTCTTGATAAGGAAATGGCAGAGGAGAAGCCTAAAGTTGAAACTGCCTTTTTTGACAAGATGGATGTGGATGGTATTTGTGCTGACATCAAGGAACAAAATAATGAAAAATATCACCTTGATAAGCTCTTTCACCCACAAGGACCTTATTTTACACAGACAAACCAATTTGAGAAGAATAGAAAGCGAAGAGAGAAGAGGAAGAATAGGAGATACTCTCAGCATCATTCTAGCTTCATCGACGATATTGACCGGAATCTTTATAAAGAAGAAATTGAAGATGAGAAGGATTACTGCATCGATACCTTATTTGAAGAGCCAGAGGAGAGAGAAACCCGAATGGAGCTTATCAAGAGGAATAAGATGAGAAGAGCTACGAAAAATGCTGCTGTTCAAACAGGGGAGGAAAGCATTCCTCTTTACCCTAAAGAAGAAGAGAAAGGGCCGCCAAAGAACGAAGGTAATTTCAAAAAATATTGGTTACAAATTCTATAATTTAGACAATACAGTTGTTCCTAAAATGATACGGAGGGGATCTTTAACTAGCAAGATGGATCTGCTTAACAAATTTAAGGATCATGAAGTTCTAAATGCATTTAAGCTATCACTCCTTCACACTGATCAAGATCTTGAATGGGCCAGCGAGGAACAGTTTTATCAAAAGGTGGGGGAAAACTTCATATCTTCCTTACTCAAATCTTCGGAAAAGCCAAGCTTTGATATTGAAAGGAAGTTAAGTGAAATGAATATTCAAAGTGACTCTTATCAAGACACCTCCAAGATTAGTGACTTTGGAGATATCATCCCAGTCAATTTTGAGGTTGAATGCCCTACTGTTCAACGTCATCAGAAGTGGAGTATAGCAGAGCAAAAGAAACTTAGCAATTTTATTGCGAGAAGAAAGTTAAATCAGATCAATCAAGATGAATGGGAAGAGATCTCGGCAAAACTTAATAGAACAGTTACCTCAATCAAGCAAAAGGCTGAAGAGATTGCTAAGAAAATGATTGGTGTCAACAAGAAGAGGAAGGTCACTGATCTTCATCCAATGAGCACCCATCATGAATCAATGAGTTGACTCTCTATGGGTGGTAAAATAAACAATATGCCAAGCGTGAACACCTATTCAGAAGTAGACAATCATGTAGAAATGGGCAAATCTCAGAAATCTGACTTCAACAGTTATTCCAGGAAGGCCATCATAGAGCAGGCTTTGAAGGAGCTTCCTCAAAACCAAGGGACAAAAGCCCAAATATTTGATGTAATTTTTACTCTGACCCATAGACAATTACAAGAAGATTTGAGATTAACTTGGCTAGTAAGTCAAGTTCTAAATATAAAGGGTTCCAACAAACTCTTAGCAAGTGTTTCCGCAACACAAAAGGGTTCTATACAATAGTTCCCTATAGCGAGGAGTGTGGGGCTCTCCAGAAGAAATTGGGATCATTCAGTAAGTTTGCAAGTTTCTTAATGTATAGGTGAATGCAAGTCTTGGAAAGAAAAGACCTTTTATGTGCTTAACTCTTTTCCTAACAGACAAGCAAAGCTGGATGATATCAAGTCTCAGATACCTATTTACGTGGGTCAAGTGCATCCAAGTAACAGCAATGAGTATCGTAATGAGATAAATTTGTGGGAGAAGAACTTATTAAAGGTATTATCTAAACACGATAATCTCTTTGACACTAGTAACTCTAAATCAATTTTCTATCTCTGATAGGAAATTTCTTCTTGCCTCATCAAGTCTTGAACAGGCTTCGAAGGCACGAAAGCCTTCATATTTTGAGTGTGAAGGCTCTCAATGATAAATAAATTACAATCAACATTTAAAAATTTGTGAAAAAGTTGCTGTACCCTTTTATTTTTAGCAAAATCTAAGAATTATCATAATTTCCTGACGAAAAAGAAGTTTTTAGCAAAAATTTAGTAACTTAGATCTTTCGATCACTAAAACTCAGCTCAGTCCTAAATCTCTTCGCTTAGCAAATCTCTGCTCTTTCTCGAGTCTGGGGTCTCCACCTGCTGTATGTTTTCATAGGCGTTTGATATAATATTTTAGAATTAATTAGGAATTTAAACCTAAATTTTAAAGTTTCTTGGCAAAAATAGTTAAAACATATTTTGGACATACTTTCATTCCTTCCAGGAAGTATGGGGTTTTGGGGTTTTGGGGTTTTGGGGTTTTGGGGTTTTGGGG